ATAATTCAGAAAAACCAAGAATTAGCTCATAGCTGAAAAAAAGCCACTTCAAAGAAAACTGCCAAAAATCTAGCATTCAGTGATGATTCTGAAAAACTACAGCATTTAGTCTTTTAAGGATTCAATTGATTTGGAAAACAAGTAAGGTACATAAACAACTGCGATCGGTAGAGTATAAGGAACCCGCACCATGGATTAATCTAGATAGAAATGAAGATGAGCAATACTCAGATCATAATGCCCAAGACTTCGCATACTTCACCATAAGCTATAGCTTCGGCTTAAATTCACGATCACTTGCAACACCGTCCCCTACTATGGCTGGGTTCATCGTCGACTAATTCAATTCTGCGGCCCCTTGGATTATCAATGGAACGACTTTTTGAAGTATCTTTGGCTACAGCGATCATGGCTAAAATGATATTGATATCAATCAAAGAACTGTAATTTAGCAACCATGATCACCTTTACACAATCTCACAAACGTCTCCTCAATTCCAATATCTTCCTTTGCCGAAGTTTCCTCATACATAGCACCCATGGAAGAAGCATACCTGGATTGAGGTTAAAGATTATTGATTTAATGAAACTATCTAGTATCAGACGACTGAAAACATGTACTAAAATAAAGAGGATGCAATATGAAGCACTCAAGCAAAAACTTGCTTACCTCAGAGACTTATACTAACACTTATTACCAATTTTGAATTTTGGTATGTTGAGCAAAGTTGTTGAATTTTTAGAAAAAGTTACTCAATTTTAGAAAGGCAAGAAATTCTTCGACAGGAAATTGATGCACCGAGAACGTTTTCTCTTCTTCTGTCAATCACAACCCAAATTAGTTTAAAGAACAAACTTTGAAGAGAGAGTTAATTTCAAAACACCAATAAAGTTCTTGCGATTTTTGACAGAATTAATTTTTAAAAAAGTGGAGAAATTTACGTTCAATCGTAAACCTACTCCTGAGCCTCTTCAAGCGTTACAGTCCTATTTCTAGCCAGATCAAGTTTGTTGCCGACAATCATCAACACGACAGAGTCTCCTAATGCTCGCTGTAACTCCTTCAACCAAACTTTGGCCTGAAACTGGTTCTATAGCAAATCAATTTTTGGTGTCGGCTAATAAGAGAATCAGTAGTCTAGAACTTACTCTGTCAAAAGATCGCTGATCGGTCATGTCAAAGATGAGAAGAGCTCCTTGACTACCGCTTAAAACTGCTGATTGATATACAAAACTTTCGAGCCCAAACAACCTCATCATTGAAATTACGTCTAAGGTGATAAAAAGTTGACTTCGTACACTGCGATAAAAACACACCGATAATAGATAGGACCGAGCGCATGATATTTCTCTTGTCCAGCCGTATCCCAGATGTTCAACGTGATATGAGCACCATCAATTTCAACTTGCTTAGATTGAAAACTAGCCTGCAAACAGATAAATTCGAAATTGCAAATTAC